CAATATCTTCATCGCTGTAGGTACTTGATGCAGCGTACATCTGTATGATTCTTAAGGACGTTCTTTTTAATTTAAGCGTCATGTATGCTACTCTATCTGATATGCTCTTGGTAGATTATATGTATTTAACTACTTTTTTATTTTTTATAAATCCTTCTCCATTGTTGGTGTTTTTTCACTAAACTTCTAATAAACAGATTAAAAACTAAGTTAAATAATTACCAGTCAAGAGAGCAAGCCGGTTTTAAAAAAGGATTCATTACAGGCGACAATCTGCTTACGATAAAAATATTAATTGAAAAGATCAACGAATATCAAATCCCAATGTATATGGCGAATATGACGTTATGAAGAAATTACAATGGGCAAAACGAGGTATTTACATAAATGGCCAATACTTGAATCACTCGAGATATGTGGACGACATTGTATTAATAACAGATAAAAGGGAAGAATTACAAAATATGATGGATGAATTAAATAGCGAATCAACAAAAATAGGTCTACAAATGAATTATAATAAAACGAAAATTATGACCAACCAACCAGAAGAATTAATAATTACAATTGCACAAACAACTATAGAACAAGTAAAAGAATATGTATTTTTGGGACAACTAGTTGAATTAAAAAAAGAAAATCAGACCGGAGAAATAAAGAAAAGAATACGGTTGGCTTGGGTATCCTTTCCTAGATACTAAAACATAGAAAATACCCCAATATTTAGGAAAAGGGTCTTCAACCAATGTATACTTCCTGTTCTCACCTACGGTCCTCAAACTTGGACGTTTACAAAGGAAACATGGAAAAAATAGCAAAGAGCCATGGAAAGGCAAATGCTGACCATCAGGCTATCAGACAAGAAAAGAAATAGATTCTACTTGGATCCGCAAGTGATGTATCAATGCAGATAGCAAAAACTTAAGTGGAGGTTCGCTGGACATACCATAAGACAGAAAGACGACAGAAGTGGATGCAAACTGCCTACAATAGAGAGACGTGGAAAAGAAGAGGAGGCCTATGTCCAAAATTGGACAGCAAGAGCTCTATAGATAGATAGATAGAAGTAAGTTATGCATCGAGTTACAATCTATGGAGAGGGCATCACGTGACTAAAAATGACCTCGCTTCGGCCATATTGTTATGATCGTTTTGACAGATCGTGTATGATTGTTTACGTTTGTTGTTTTTCGAATATTTTTAGTTTTATAATACTTTATAGAGACAGTAATATTATATTGTGACAGTGCATCATTCTTTGTTCTTAACGTAGTTGCATTGATAGAAGCAATGTTAATAAAAAATCTTCAGGAATAACGTTCCACAGGTAAGTATACAAATATGTAAACAAAGTAATGACCCGGTACTTCACAGAATAAATTATTAGTATTCATAAAAAATCTTACAGTAATTTAGAAATGTTTCTCGATTAATTTTTCAGTCATTATTGAATATTTTTAAAAGTTTCCAAAATAGCAATTAAAACATCCACTTCCAATAAAATTTATAGATATTTCAATGTTCGCGAAAATTCTCGAACGAAAAGAGGTTAGATTCTTCTATTTTGTAGATATTTCAATGTTCGCGAAAATTCTCGAACGAAAAGAGGTTAGATTCTTTCTATTTAAATATATTAAGACTTTTTGACGTTTTATTTTTAAACTTCTTAAAAGTTCTTTACTTTTCTATTGAGAATTTTATGGAAATTTAGGCTTTCAGATCAGAATGAGAACTTATATATAAATTAAACATCTTAAATTAGTAAATAACACTATTTTAATCCATAATTATTATTTCAAATATCCACTTTCTGTTCAATTTCACCTGGATTCACTATCCATATCACTATCATTCACAAAATTTCTGAATATAACAAATTTACTCATCGTAATCTATATATAATATCATAACTATCAAAATAACCAATTACATTGCAAAATTAAAACTTCTTTAAAAAACTATTATGCTGATTTCTTAAGGATGCCCTCATATAAATACTTTTTATAATATTCTCTAGTATACAGGGTAAGTCATGAGGAACTTTACATACTTCTACCATATGTAGAGTCCCTCAGGGAGCATATCATGTGGCCACTAAAAAACGTCAACTCCTCTTCTTTATTAATTAACAGGGTGATTTGTGTAATTGACCATTTATTTCATTTTACTGTAGTGTTTATACGGTTCATTTGATTTTTTAAATTTTTGCATGATACAGTACACTACTATCAAGCATTCGACTGGTATTAGCTAAACTAAAAAATTCCAAGACTGGCTTTGGAAAAATTAATTTAGGGATTCGTATTAAATATTACACCCTGTATATATTTTTTTAAAATGCAATAAGTGATTTTCAAACTACATAAATAGCCAATGAAAACGACATATGCTACAATGTTGTCGCAATTTTATTAAATTTTTAGTGAACGCTCAAATCTTACCAAAAATAGAACAACCATAATGAAGTATCAAATTATAAGGTATTAATTTAAACAAATGTTCCAAATTTCAAACATTTTAGTTGAGTTCCTACAACATAATCTAATACGTAGAAAATTAACATCTTTACTGTCACTTTGTATTATCTCTACGATAGAATCAATTGTTTTTCAATTTTAAATTTTTACTCATAGATCGTATTGGGGCATTATTTTCGATAAATAATAAATTAAATTGATTAAAAAGTCAAACCTCTTGTATGTGTTAGTTTTTGTTGATTGTAAATGATTAAAATTTTATGTCAAATAATAATACATTGCATCAACTGTACTAAATAAAAATAAATCTAAAAAAGTTTAAAATGAAGGTTGGCGTTGACCGTTTGACGTATCTTGATATTTTATACCCATTGTCATTATTGTCATTATCAATTGTTATTTATGTGTACAAGAATACATATTTCTTCTGTCATATCTATGTTAAGTACATTGTGTTAGTTTTGGTAGAGATTTTGTTACTTTCGTTCAAAATGCCACATTAGTTTTCGACCACAGAAATATCGCAAGAGATTTCCTAATCGTCGAACTCCCAGTCATCCAACATTTGGGTCAGTTTTTAATTATTTGCGAGAAAATGGCACTTTTCCTAGTGGAACAACAGAGCGACATGTAGATGAAGCGCAGGAAGAGGACATTATGGGCGCCGTTACTATGAACCCTACAATAAGCACTAGACTAGACAAGTAAGTCGAGAACTCAATGTTACTCAATCAAAAGTAAGTAGAGTCTTACAAAAAAATAATCTATACCCATATCACATTCAAATGGTTCAGCGACTACACGCTGGAGATGAGATCTATAGGTTGGAATTTTGTAGATGGATTAACAATAATCAACCAACGTTATACAGGACACTATTTACAGATGAAGCCCAATTTACCAGAGACGGGATAAATAATTCACGAAATTCACATATGTGGGCAGAAGAAAATCCCCATGCTATTCGAGAACGTCGTTCTCAGTTAAGGTTTTCGGTTAACGTGTGGATTGGTGTCATAAATAACCAATTAGTAGGTCCTCACTTTTTTGATGATCCTTTAACAGGGCAGGTCTATTTGAACTTTCTACAAAATATTTTGCCGAATTTGCTTACCAACGCGAACGTTGCTATCCGAGGTATGTATTTTCAGCATGATGGGGCACCCCCACACTTTTTACTGGCAGTGAGACAACATCTCAATAATGTTTATGGCAACAGGTGGACAGGACGTGAAGGTCCTATTTCGTGGCCTTCAGGATCCCCTGATTTCAATCCCGTTGATTACCATATTTGGGGACGATTGAAGCAACTAGTTTACGCAGTGAATATTAATAACCGACAACAATTAATTGATAGAATTATACATTGTTGTAATACTATTAGAAACGATCCCCAGAGTATCCGTAATTCAATACGTCAATTAACAATTCGGCAACAAAAATGTGTACAGGCTGCAGGGTTCCATTTCGAAAATCTATTTTAAATTATTTTTATTTTGTTACCATTATTGTATCTTTTCCAGTTCTAATTTATGGGTTTATCATAACTATGTACATATTTTTAGTTTTTTTTTAATTGTTCTTCGTTAATGTTAGTAGTTAATGTTTTTTGTTGTGCAGTGACTCAGTTTATCATTTCAATTGAAATGTTTGAAATTTATAACATTTGTTTAAATTAATTATCTTATAATTTGATACTTTATTATGGTTGTTCTATTTTTGGTAAGATTTGATCGTTCACTAAAAATTTAATAAAAGTGCGACAACATTGTTGCATATGTCGTTTTCATTGGCTCTTTATGTAGTTTAAAAATCACCTATTGCATTTTTAAAAAAATATATACAGGGTGTAATATTTAATACGAATCTCTAAATTAATTTTTCCAAAGCCAGTCCTGGAATTTTTTAGTTTAGCTAATACCAATCGAATGCTTGATAGTAGTGTACTGTATCATGCAAAAATTAAAAAAATCAAATGAGCCGTATAAACACTACAGTAAAATGAAATAAATGGTCAATTACACAAATCACCCTGTTAATTAATAAAGAAGAGGAGTTGACATTTTTTAGTGGCCACATGATATGCTCCCTGAGGGACTCTACATATGGTAGAAGTATGTAAAGTTCCTCATGACTCACCCTGTATAACTCATAAATGACTTCTTTAATCGCCATTTAAGTTCATTCTAGGTTTCTAAACATTTTGATTACCTTTCTTTCTTTGAGATTTAATATTATCTCAATATATATATATTAAAAAAAGGTACAGTTAAATTGACTTACATGTTTTAAGCCTTTAAATTCCCATGTAGTCTTTATTATACCTGTAGCATGTTTGTACGTTTTTCGGGGAAAAACACAATCATATTTTTTAATCTGCAACTTTAGCCGCCCGCCTTTACAGACAACTTAAAATAATAGTCAATATCTAAAAATTATCTTAAGTGGAGATAAACGTTATATGCTCGTATATATTTTAAACTTAATTCACTTATCTATTAGTTCATAATATTTAGTACAATATATGAATATTTTTTTAATACAACTTATAATTAAAGTGTTACAAATGACAATCAATTTGATATGAGAATAGTATTTGTAACCTGGATCTTAGCAGCATGCTTATTACAAAGTAAGTTCATATTTTATCTGAATATAATGTTACGTAAAGAGTTTTATATTATTATTACAATAAGGGTTCCCAAAGTCTTATCTCCGTTCTAATATGGTTTTGTCTACTTTGTTTCCCAGCAGCTTCTAGCTGCTGGACCTTCTATCTCTTTCTTATATCTTGGGACTCCACTCTTTAATTTTTTCATTATTTTATTGTAACTGATTTTTCTCATAATTTTATTAGTTTTTATATATGTAAGTTTAATATTTCCTTTTCTAGAGATGTTCTCTGTCTTGTTTACTTTTCTACTCATTAAGTCATATGGGTGTATACTAGTTCGCTCCCGCGGTCAGATTTTATTACCCCACAGAAAAAAGGCATAGGTAAATTCGCTCCGGTCATATATTTCTTAGAACAGATATTTGAATAATGTCTTCTCAAACTTTGTATTTACCTATTAATACAACTCTACCATCATTGCTTAAAAAATAATGAGTCTTTTTTAAACAATGGTACTATATAACACTACTTCTTACTTAAAGTTAATACATATAAACATATTATGTTAGTTTTTACACTTGTATTGCTTTCTTATTAAACCTATATTTTAGAATAGGCACAAAAATTATTTCAGTAATTTTTAAAAACAATTCAAAATTTCTAATATAATTTCTAAATCAATCACTAACATTTTTCAAAATACATAACAATAATGAGCGCACTAATAACCAGCAAAATAATGCAAAAGATGGAAAACATATTAAGTTGTGAGATAAATTGAAATGAAACCAGTGGAGACGGGAAATTTAGGGATAGAATCTATAAATTTACATTCCATTTATTGTTTCCCACCTTTAGACGTAAGAGTTTGGAAACTACCGCTGTGACAATGACAGTTTTAGTTGACATCCTCCTCTGATACGTCTAAAGTTGGGAAACAGTGAATAGAATGTAAATTTATAGGTTTCTACGCTAAATTTCTCATCTCTACTAGTTTCATCTCTTTTATTTTACAACTTCATATGTTTTCCATCGTTTGCGTTATTTTGCTTATCACTGTAGTTATATAAATATGTAACTACCAATATTTGATATAATTTCTAATATAAAATACAAAAGCCGTAGTACCTTTTTTCCTGGTGTTAATTTTCCTAGAACTTAATAGATAAATACGTAATCCGCTTGACCACGGAAGCGACCTAGGTTAGGGATTTCGGAGCGAACTAGTATGTAATTAACAGAGTTTTTTGACCTTAGGAGCGAACTAGTGTACTTCGAGTCATATTTGTCAGGAGTATAAAAAATACAATACATTTCTAACATGAAGCTCAAACAGAATTCAAAAAGCACTCATACTGATTATTGATTTAACATTAATTAGTTATACATTTAACTTTAGGTAACATCATGTTACCACATAATCTATTACTTCCCAAATTCATAATATTACTGATCTTCTTGACAATACTGTTTATCTATATTTAGTATACATAGTTTAGTGTACGTGGTTGTGGAATGTACGGAAGTAACACTAAGAAAGACATTGCTATGAGCGATGTTATTGTTCCACATAGAGTTTTACATGATGCAGAACACAAACCCACCTTCCATTTTGCCCGTTCCATTCCAAGATGTCAAAGGAGGTTCAATCCCGATCTCACATTTATATCTTTCAACGAAACGGGATCTAAAACCAGCCTTGAGAACGCAACAAGGTAAGTTTCCAATCTTCTTCTTTACCTGCCATCTCCGCGACGGCGGTTGGCAATCATCAAGGCTATTCTGATCCGTACCATTCCCTTAAGTTACCCAACCATGAGATTCTTCTCTTTCCTACACTTCTCTTGTCCTGGATTTTCCCGTGTATAATTATTTGAAGGATGTTGTATCCTTCTTTACGCATAGCATGCCCAGGTGTTGTAACTTCTGTAGTGTCTTGATGGTTTCCAATATTTTCTCTGTTTTGTTGACTCTTCTCGTCACATCGTTGTTTTTACATGCTCGGTAGATGATATCTTCAGGATTCTACTAAACACTCACCGTTCAAATACTTTCAACTTTTAGTAGTCGACGCGTTAAGTGTCTATACTTTTATCCCGTAAACCAGAGTCAAAAAAATATAACACCTTGCCAGCCTTACCCTCAAATCCAATTTCAGTTCTCTTGCACAAAGTACCTTTTCTTATTTTATTGACGTTTGTTCGTGCTTTCTCTATTCGAACTTTGATTTCTTTAAAGAAATCGTTGGTGTGATTAATTATTGTACCCAGATAATTTTAGTTTTTAACTCATTCTAAAATTTTACCGTTAATTGTCAGGTTTTCATCATTATTTTGGGTTTTTAATATCCTCATAAATTTAGTGGTCTTGATGTTTATTGATAACCCATATTCTTCTCCATGCTTAACTATCTTGTATATTAGCTTTTGGAGGTTGTCTACTATGACAGTATCGTATGCATATCTAATGTTATTAATTGGTGTTCCATTGACCTTTATTCCTGCTGTTTCTCTCTTAAGAGCTCTTTTCATAATTTCTTCAGAGTATGCATTAAATAGTAGTGGTAACAAGACCCACCCCTGTCGCACTCCTCTTGTAATTTCGAACTCTTCTGATGTGTTTTCATTAATGCGTATGTATGCCTGTTGTTTATAATATAGATTTGTTATAATATTTTGCTTTTGAGGACGTCCATTAGCTCTTTGTGGCGGACTTTATCGAAAGCCTTCTTGTAATCTATGAGACAGACGTACATATTTTGGTTCACATCCAAGCATCTCTGTATTAGTACTGTGAATGCAAAAAGAGCTTCATGGGTAACTACGCCTCTACGGAATGCAAATTGGGTTTCTTCAATATCTATATCAAGTATTTGGTAAATTCGTTTATCTTGATGATCTTCAAAAAAAATTTTTAAGTGTGTGAGACATCAGGCCTATGGCTCGGTGGATCGGTAGTTAAGCTCTCAATAACTTTTTTAAATACCAACATCTTCATTATAAATTTAATACGGCTACTAAGATGGAATTTCCGAAAGGCAAAGTGGAAATGCTTTCAATCTCAACTAGATAGTAATATTAGACATACAAAGCCAAAGCTGGAAAATTATGAGAAATTCATATCACTAGTGATAATCTGCCCAAAAAAGGACATTCCACGTGAAGTTATCAAACACTACATCCCATGCTGTAGTGACGAATGTCAAGAACTACTTATCTTCTTAACAAACTAGATTCTGACCGAAACAACTACACAGTAAATTATACAACCCTAAAACCGGTAGATTTAGCCGAACGCAGAGCCAGCCTCTCAAACAAGTCATATAAACAAAAAATATAACATATACATAAAAGAGAAGTTCCATCCATCCAATGGCACTACAGCCCAAATCGGGCCTTGGCCTTCTTCAACAAGCTTCTCCAATCATTTCGATTTACCGCTGTTCTTTTCCATGAACGCGTTCCCAGGCAGTTCCTGGCATCCTCATCAACTTCGTCTTCCCATCTCTTTTTAGGTCTTTTGACAGTTCTTACAGTTCTGAATTTCCTGGGGATTCTATTCTCATGCATGCGGATCACGTGCCCTGTCCACCGTAATATCTGCAGTTTAGTGTATTGTGCTAGAGTTGGTTCGTTATATTGCTCGTATATTTCTCTATTATATCTAATTCGCCAGTTGTTGTTTTCACATATTGGGCTCAGTATCCTACGTAGTATTTTTCTTTTAAACAAATCTAATGCATTGGCAGATTTCTGTGTCGCCACCTATGTTTCACAACCATAACTTACTATGGGCCTGATTATTGTGTTATAGACCCGGTGTTTTCTTTTCCGGTGTACGTCTCGCGATCTGAATATGTGGCCCATCGCGAAATAGGCTTTATTTCCCAGCACAAGCCTTCTATTTATTTCCGGTTCTTCTTCACTGCTTGCGACCAGATCTATTTCGAGGTATGTGAATCTATTCACATGTTCTATATCGTCAATAAAGTGTTGTTGCGCTGGTCTATTTGATCTGGTTTGTAAAAGTAGTTTTGTTTTATTTGTATTTCTTGCTAGCCCTACTGCTTCTGCACTCGGTTTCAACTCAACGTAGGTTTCTTCCGCTGCATTCACTGTTCTGCTTCATTATGTTTATATCATCTGCGTATGCTGCTAATTGGGTAGATTTGTTAGTAAGTATGTTATTTTCGCTCACAGTTAACCGTCTAATTACATATTCAAGAACAAGATTAAAGAGCGTTAGAGCCAGTCCGTCGCCTTGTTTCAGTCCTTGCGGTATCGTAAACGCATCAGTGATCTGTCCTGGAATACATACCTGTGCTTCTGTTTTTGTCATTGTTATTTGCACTAGTCGTATTAATTTTGATGATGACTTCTCTCTTGACCATCATACCATCAAAAGAGAAGTTCAATATCAATAAAAAGAAGCCAAAACTATTGACAACATTTATCCGGAATTGATAAAACATATTCTTACGTTCTTTTTTATGTAGTTTCCATTTTAAATATATCTAATTTTTAAAAGCTACCGCCATTAATTATTCCGCTATTATATTATACCATAATGAAACAAGAAATGACACATGACACTAATGACAAGCGTTTCAACTGCTCAGGGTAATTCTAACCAGTGTTGCCATAGTTATAGAAAATATTTTTTTGTATAAACAAAATTACAGATGTTTAAATATTTTAACATTTTATTTTTAACTACTTTTGACAAAAAAATTACTGGTTTGTTAGCAGATTTAGATTAGATTTGGTTAGGTTAGGTTTGGCTACGTTAGGCTAGATTAAAACATTTTGTTTTTACCTACTTTTAACAAAAATTACTGATTTGTTAGCAATTTTAGATTATATATTATGGTTAAGTTTCGTTATTAGATGAAACAATGTAAAGAGATAGACGAACTGGAAACAAAATATGATATGAGAAATATGCACAAAAAAATAAGAGAAGTGACTGGAATGGGTCGAAATAGACGGAAAGGACACATAAAAGACAAAAAAGGAGTA